CTTGTGCACACTTTATGCTGTTCCCATGATGATGAAATTGCCTAATGATGCATTTCTCAGATTGTAGATTTTATCCCTGTCCTTTAAGCAACACATTTCTGTAGTTAGCCAGAAAAAGATAGGTAAGGGAATGTAAGGGAGATACCCTGGGGAGAGGAAATGCCATATGCAAGGATTCAAAGGTGTCAGCTAGCACAATGAGTCTGGAAACAGCAAGTAGTTTAGACCATGGAAGCATATAGTGTAGGTGGCAGAAGTGGAAGATAAGGCTAAAGACTGTGTACCAAGCTTTACAGACCTAATGAAGGAATTTGGACATCATCTTGGATATCAATTTTCTCCTGTATTTAACAAAATTTCAAAGCTTAGTGGCTTAAAATTACAACTGCTTTTGTTTTTGTTTTTTTGAGTTGGAATCTCACTCTGTTGCCCGGGCCGGAGTGCAGTGGCACACTCCTGGCCACCACAGCCTTGACCTGCTGGGCTCAGGTGATCCTTCCACCTCAGCCTTCCAAGTAGTCAGAACTACAGGTGCACGCTACCATGCCCAGCTAATTGTTTGATTTATTGTAGAGACGAGATCTTACCATGTTGCCCAGGCTGGTCTCGAACCCGCGGGCTCAGGCAATCCTCTCGCCTTGGCCTCCCAAAGTGTTGGGATTATAGGCTTGAGCTACCATGCCCGGCCAACAACTGTTTTTGTTTTTTTAAAATAATTTTCTGGATAGGCAAATTGGGCTGGGCTCAGCTGGGTTGTTCCTCTGATGGTTACTCACATCGTTGCAATCATCTGATGGCTCAATTCAGGCTGGATAGTATAAAATAGTCTCATTCACCTGCCTGGCATTTGATGCTAGCTACTGGATGGGTCATATCTCTCAAACAGGTGAGCCTGGTCTTCCCATGGTGGCAGTGTTACAAGAGGATAAGAGCAGAAACTGCAAGGCCTTTTGAAGCTTAAACTCAGAAGTCCTACAATGTCACCAGGTGCAGTGGCTCACGCCTATAATCCCAGCACTTTGAGAGGCCGAGATGAGAAGATTGCCTGAACCTGTAGGTTCAAGACCACCCTGGGCAACTTGGCAAGGCCTCATTTCTACAACAAATCAAAAAAATTAGCTGGGCATGGTGGCATGTGCCTGTAGTTCCAGCTACTTAGAAGGCTGAGGTGGAAGGATTGCTGGAGCCCAGCAGATTGATGCTACAGTGGCCATGAGCGTGTCACTGCACTTCAATCTGGGCAACAGAGTGAGAATCTGACTCAAAAAAAAAAAAGAGTCCAACAATGTCAATTCTGCCACTCAATTGGTCAAAACAAGTTACAAGACTAACCCTGATGGAAAAAGCTAAAATGAAAGTGTGAGTTTTTTTTCTTTTTGAGCTGGAATCTCACTCTGTCACGCAGGCTGGAATGCAGTGGCACACAAACAGCCACTGCAGCGTCAGCCCCTCCCAAGTAGCTGGAACCACAGGTATGTGTGTCACCACGTCTGGGGGTTAATTTTTTTATTGTAGACACGAGGTCTCACCAAGTTGCCCGGGCTGGTCTCAAACTCCTGGACTCAGGTAATCCTCTCACCTTGGTCTCCCAAAGAGCTGGGATTACAGGCGTGAGCCACTGTGCTCAGGTTGAATTTGTGATCATTTTAAATCTATCACACCCTGATGTTGGCCTAAATCAAGACAGTAGGTAGAGAGAAGTGATAGACTCTTCTTTTTAGAATGTTTGGGAGGTGGAATTGTCTTGGGGATTGTTCTCAAACAAGGAAGAGAGGATGAAGTTACAAATGGCTCCTAGATGTTTGGCTTGGGTGACTGGTGAATGATAGAGCCCGACACTTAGAGAGAAATGAGGAGGAACAGGTTTGGGGGGAAGATGATGTTTCCAGTATGAGTCATGTCAGGGATGAGGTGGAGATGGATGGTAGGTAGGTGAATATATAGGTCTGGCTCAGGGAAAGGGCTGTTGGGAGTTTGGGGTGCTTTAAGCCTGAAATATCTATGGAGGGCAGGGGCTACAACCCCAGAGCAGGAACATCTTTTTAAAAATTATTATTATAAAGATGTGGAGTACAACTCAGTGTTAGGTATACAAACATTAATCATGCAGGTACCCTTGTTGATGAAGTATGCCCCTCCCTCCCCTAGCAGTTTCCCTCAACTGCCAATCCCACCACCCCTCCCCTGACAGTTTCCCATTACTGCCAAGCACTTTCTTATAGTAATATAATTGTTCAAGGTCCGCTTATGAGTGAGAACATATGGTACTCCGATCTTTGTTTCTGTGATAGATCACTGAGTATAATCGAATCCATCCAAATCCCTGCAAAGTCCATATATTTGTCCTTTTTTATGGCTGCATAATATTCCATTGTGTATATGTACCAAATTTTCTATTTTTTTTTTGAGTTGGAGTCTCACTCAGTCGCCCAGACTGGAGTGCAGTGGCCGCTCCCGGTCACCGCAGCCTCGACCTGCTGGGCTCTGGCGATCCTTCCGCCTCAGCCTTCCAAGTAACTGGAACTACAGGCGCGCGCTACCATGCCCAGCTGATTTTTTAAAATTTATTGTAGAGATGAGTTCTCTCCAAGTTGCCCAGGCAGGTCTCGAACCCGCAGGCTCAGGCAACCCACTCACCTCAGCCTCCCAAGGCGCGGGATTACAGGCTGAGCCACCGAGCCCGGCTGTACCACATTTTCTTTATCAGTCCAGCTTCAATGGGCAACACGGTTGGTTCCATGTTTTTGCTATTGTGAATAGGACTGCAACAAACATATGTGTGCAGGTATCTTTTTTGTAGAATGATTTGAGTTCCTCCGGGTACATTCCCAATAGGGGAATTGCTGGGTCAGATGGAAGGTCAATTTCTAGTTCTTTCAGAAATTGCCACATTGTCTTCCAAAGAGGTTGCACTAGTTTGCATTCCCACCAGCAGTGTAGAAGCATTCCTTTTTCTCCACATCCTTGCCAGCATCTGTTGTTGTTTGTTTTATTAATGATGGCCATCTTACTGGGGTTAGGTGGTACCTCAATGTGGTTTTGATTTGTATTTCTCTGATGATGAGTGAGGCTGAGCACTTTTTCATGTGTCTGTTGGCTGCCTGTATATCTTCTTCTGAGGAGTGTCTATTCATGCCTTTTGCCCACTTTTTAAAGGGGCTGTTTATTTTTTTCCTTTTGGCACGTTTGAGTTCCTTGTAGATCCTAGATGTTAGGCCTTTGTCAGGTATACAGTTGGCAAATATTCTTTCCCATTCTGTGGGCTGTCTCCCTGCTCTCTTGATGGTTTCTTTTGCTTTGCAGAAGCTCATTAGTTTGATGAGGTCCTACTTGTCTATCTTATTTCTTCTTCTAAAAAAAAAAATGCCACCGCATCTGGCTTTGGTGAAACTTTTTTTTTTTTTTTTTTGAGTTGGAGTCTCACTCGGTCCACTCACCCAGTTTGGAGTGCAGTGGCCACTCCCGGCCACCGCTGCCTCGACCTGCTGGCCTCCGGTGATCCTTCCACCTCAGCCTTCCAAGTAACCGGAATTACAGGTATGCGCTACCATACCCAGCCGATTTTTTGATTTATTGTAGAGATGAGGTCTCACTGCCCAGGCGAGTCTCGAACCCGCGGGCTCAGGCAATCCACTCACCTCAGCCTCCCAAAGACGCGGGATTACAGGCTGAGCCACCGAGCCCGGCTGTCTATCTTATTTCTTAAGGTATTGGCCTTTAAGGTTCTGAATAGGAATTGGTTCCAAGTTCCAATTTCCATAAGGGTGTCTCCTGCGTTTTCTAAGATTCTTATAGTTTGAGGTTTTATGTTTAGGTCTTTGATCCATTTAGAGTTAATTTTTGTGTATGGTGATAGGTAGGGGTCCTGTTTCAATCTTCTGCATGTGGTCAGCCAGTTTTTCCAGTACCATTTACTAAATAGGTTCTCCTCTCCCCGATGTCAAAGATGAGTTGGTTGAGGAATTGAGGCTTGAGCAGGAACATCTTGAGGACAGGGATCGAATAACTCAACTTTGTGGTTGCACTGAACCTAGCCTAGTTCCCAGAACAAAGTAATAAGTCTATCCTAGCTGTGGCTTGCCTGGCTGTTATGGGGAAAAGGGATTAAGCCTATACAGAAAGCCCTCAGCTCTGAACTAAGATGAGTATTACAAGTTGCATAGGGGTAGATCTCTTCTTCTGCCAGGAGGAAATCTCCCAACAACAGGCCACTGACTCAGAAAGTAATGAGTGCATCATCATCCAGGGAGCATCAACAAGACCTAGAAGAAACCCCTTCCCCCCTCCCCCACACCAGGGATGCTGTGGAGGGCATTCTCTCCCTGGGTTGGAAGATAGACCCAATGGCCAGCCCTAATATTCTGTGAAGACAAACTTCTCTTGCCACTCCCACTCCCTCACAGGCACCCAACTTTCAGAAACTCCACAAATCTTCACTGAGGGCTATCCTGCTGGGAGATCAGCACTTCAGAGGCACCTACCAGGGTGCAAAAGAAATGTTGGCTAGGATCCCTGCCATTCATTCATTCAATAAACATTTAACAAGCCTCCACTATATAAGCCTCCTGCTATGTACCAGGAACACAGAGATGAATAAACTCTAGTCTAGAAACAATGCAATGCAGCTGTAAAACGTCTTGAGGCTCTTGTTAGTTTCTGGAACTGTCTTTCTATCTAGATCTCAATTAGGAACTGAGGACTCTTCTTGCTATGGTGCCAGGTTGTATCAGTTTGAGAAAGAAAGAATGAAAGGAATAGGGGAGCTGGGAACCGGAGAAGTGTCCAAAGGCAGGATCTCTGATTGGAGTCTAAGAAAATTCCAAAGATATATGGCAAAACCTCTATCTGGGCGAATAATAATTAGAAAGTTACATTCATTAAGTGTTTTTTCCGTGGCTATAACAGTCGTGCCCGCTTTTATTGGATTATATACTTTCTTCTGGCAGCATGTATTTGGGCACATGCGTCCTCTTTTCTGGACCTCATCAACGCAATGTTACATCAAGAAAGCAGGGCGGGAAGTTCTGGTTCGGTCCCTGTGAAACTTCAGGCGAGCGGAACTGCTGTTCCGCGGCCCGCGAAGGCGCCCGGAGACTTTTCGCCAGGACGCTCACCCTAGCAACGCGGGTCTGGTTGTTAGGGGCGGAGGCGCGGGAGGTTGTCGAGTGAGGTGGCTGCGGATGCCCTCCCGCCCCGCGTCCCCGCCGGCCTCACCTCCAGCTCTACCAGCCCACTGGTGGGTACGGAGCTCGAGGTGGGAGAGAGGAGGGCAGAGGCAGGAGGGGAAGGGGGAACCCACGTGCTCTCTGGGCCGGAGAGCGGTTTCTTAGGACCAGCTTTGGGCTGCATGTTCCCATCTTGGGGAATCCTCGCGCTTCCTTTCACATTCACATCAAACTCTAGCTTTAGCCTTTCGTATAACGGGCAGGGAAAGGAGCATGGCATTTGTGACCTGAAAAGTCCCCAAAACTTGAGGCAATCTTGGGAGTTCTGGCCTAGTACTGATTCTCCCTGTGACCCTGGGCAAGACTCTCTTATCCTTTGGGCCTTGGTTTACCCTCTCCGTACCTAGAGAAGACCGAACCAGACCACCCTGCAGGAGTTTCTACCTGTGATTTTGTTTCTGCTTGAGCATGGTTTTGGTTTAGATGCCTTGATCTCCCAGAGTGCAGGATAGTTGTGTGTATAGAGGGAAATTTGGAAAGAGAGAGGGAGATAGGATATCAGCATTTGTGTGAGCAGTGGATCAGGGAAGTCCAGGGAAATAAGGCCCAGTTCACCCAGCTCTGCCCTTCTGACCTTCAGCAAGTCACAGCCCTCTGGGTCTTAGTTTCTTCATGAACTAGAATGGTTGGGTATGAACTGGTGCATATCAAGGAGTATTGCACTGGGGAGTTAAAAGAGAACTCTCTGAGTTATATTTGGGTGGTTTAGAGTGTTTGCTGGATATCTCAAGACCTTTAGAAAGCAGATTGGGATTGAAATGGCTGCTGGGATTCAAATTTAGGCCTGGTTCCAATTGGAACAAACAGGGACATCTAGAGCCATCATTGAATTTACAGGTTTTTCCAAGTCCTCTCCAGCCTTTCTGGGCCTGAAATCTGGGACAAGGTAGGGTGAGTACTCTCTGAAATTTTTGTTCCACAGTTTTAAAGGGCCCTTGTGCTGTTGGGCCCTTGGGTTAAAAAGTATTCCACCAAGCAGACTCTTCATTTTACTATGCCAGTATGTCATTTGTTCATTCATTCAACAGATATTTGCCCTGAATCTGTTTTCACAGGCTATGCTCAAAGCACAGATACAAAAATTAACAAGACATCCTTCCTTTCAAGTATATTACATGCTCATAATATGTACAAAGAAAAATAGCTTAATAATTCTTAAGGTGAAGAAAAAAATTCTTTATTTCTTCCTTCCTTTTTTTTTTTGAGTTGGAGTCTCACTCTGTCGCCCAGCCTGTAGTGCAGTGGCACCCTCATGGCCACCACAGCCTCCACCTGCTGGGCTCAGGCAATCCTTCCACCTTAGCCTTCCAAGTAGCTGGAACTACAGGCATACGCCACCATGCCCAGCTAATTTTTTGATTTATTGTAGAGATGAGGTCTCGCCAAGCTGCCCGGGTTGGTCTCTAACCAGTGAGCTCAGGCAATCCTCTCATCTCGACCTCCCAAAATGCTGGGATTATAGGCATGAGCCACCGTGCCCAGCCTCTTTCTTTCTTGCCAGGTTCTCGCTCTGTTGCCCAGGCTGGAGTGCATTGGTGCAATCATAGCTCAAACTCCTGGGCTCAAGCAATTCTCTCTCCCCAACCTCCCAAGTAGCTATCTAGGACTACAGATGGGTGCCACCACGCCTTGATAATTTTTTCATTTTTTGTAGAGACAAAATCTTGGTATGTTGCCCATGATCTCAAGTAATCATCCTGCCTCTGCCTCTCAAAGCGTTGGGATTATAGGCATGAGCCCAGCCGGTGTTTTCATTTATTAATCTACTTATAGTAATTGTAACAACATAGATATAACACAGGTACATACACTTTGTTCTTGAGATTTTTGTTTTTTTGAGTTGGAGTCTCACTCTTGTTACCCAGGCTGGAATGCAGTGGCATGATCATGGCCACCGCAGCACCGACCTGCTGGGCTTAGGCTATCCTTCCGCCTCAGCCTTCCAAATAGCTGGAACTACAGACACACGCCACCACTCCCGGCTAGTTTTTGTGATTTATAGTAGAGACGAGGACTCACCAAGTTGTCCAGTCCAGGCTGTTCTTGAACCCCTGAGCTCAGGAAATCCTCTCTTCCTCAGCCTCCCAAAGTGATGGAATTACAGGCTGAGCCACCGTGCCTGGGCTGTTCTTGAGACTTTTTAATTGCCTTTCTATATAACATGAATTCTTAGCCTTATTGGGATTAATCACTGATCAGGATTTATAGTTGCCTTCAGTTTAATATCCTCCAGACCCATATATCCATTTGTATATGTTCTTTGTGTGTATTGGGATGTATGTTTAATGTACATGTATTATGAGCAGTGTTGATAAGGGTGCTGCTTCTGGTATTATCACTGTTAATCTTACAATTGTCCTAGTAATCATCATTTATTAATAAGAGTTTGCCAAGTTGAACTGAAGGCTTTATATGGACTAGCTTTTGTGATTTATTATAGAGACGAGGACTCACCAGCTTGCCCAGGCTGGTCTTGAACCCCTGGGCTCAGGCAATCCTCTCACCTTGGCCTCCCAAAGTGCTGGGATTACAGGCTGAGCCACCATGCCTGGGCTGTTCTTGAGATTTTTAAATTGCCTTTCTATACAACATGAATTCTTAGCTCACTCTGTTGCCCAGCCTGGAGTGAGCAGATAGTATGCTGAACAAGAGCAGGGCCTATGGAGTCGATTGCCTAGATTCAAGTTTCAGCTGTGCCACTTAATTGCAGTGTAAACTTGAGTAAGTTAGTTATCTCTAGGCCTCACTTTTCTCATCTGCAAGATGGTTATACAGGTTGAATAAATCTTATCTGAAATGCTTGGGACCAGAAGTGTTTCAAATTTCAGATTTGCATTATATACTTACCTGTTAAGCATCCCTAACCTGATAATCTGAAATCCGAAATGCTCCAGTGAGCATTTCCTTTGGGTGTCATGTCAGTGCTCAACACATTTTGGATTTTGGAGTATTTTAGATTATGGATTTTCAGATTAGGGATGCTCAACCTATAGTAACAGTATTTATCTCAGAGACTTGTGGAATAGGTTAAATTAGTTAATAAATGTAAAGCACTTAGAGTAGTTCCTATCTCATGTGTTACTATTAATCTTCACAGAAACCACTGATAGAAAACTGAGACTGAGGGAGGTTCAGCAACTTGCCCAAAGCCACAATAGCAATGTAATTCAGAACTAGTCCTGTCTAATTCAGGCACTTAATCAGATGTTATTCTGACTATTCTGTGCTGTTCTTAATTCTCAGAATAAGCTCTACTGTCAACTAGCCATTAGAAATTATTTGCATTCAGCTGGGCGTGGGTGTCTTATGCCTGTAATCCTAGCACTTTGGGAGGCAGAGGCAAGAGGATTGCCTGAGCCTAGGGGTGCAAAACCAGCCTAGGCTACTTGGTGAGACCTTGTCTCTATAATAAATCAAGAAAAATTATCCAGATGTGGTGGTGCACGCCTGTAGTTTCAGCTACTTGGAAGACTGAGGCAGAAGGATCACCTGAGCCCAGCAGGTAGAGGCTGCAGTGGCCGTGAGCGTGCCACTGCACTCCAGCCTGGGAACTGATAGAGTGAGATTCAGACTCAAAAAACAAAACAAAACAAATATTTAAAATAGAGTTGTTTAAATGCAATAGAACTATGTTTCCTCTTTTACACATTTATTTATTTTTGAGTCAGAGTCTCTCTCTGTCACCCAGGCTGGAATGCAATGGTATCATGGCTCACTATAGCTCCAACTCCTGCACACCTGGTTATTATTTTTTTTATAGAGATGAGGTCTTGCTATGCTTCCCAGGCAGTTTTGAACCCCTAAGAGCAAGCGATCCTTTTGCCTTTGCCTCCCAGATTCCTGGGATTACAGGCATGAGCCACAATGTCCAGCCTCTTTTAGACATTTATAATAGAAAGTCTGGACTAGGCGGGGCGCAGTGGCTCATGCCTATAATCCTAGCGCTGTGGGTGGCTGAAGTGAGATGATTGTCTGAGCCCACGGGTTCGAGATCAACCTGGGCAACTTAGGGAGACCTCATCTCCAATAAATCAAAAAATTAGCCAGGCATAGTGGCACATGTCTGTAATTCCAGCTACTTGGAAGGCTGAGGCGAAAGGGTCGCCTGAGTCCAGCAGGTCGAGGCTGCAGTGGTCATTAGCATGCCACTGCACTCCAACCTGGGTGACAGAGTGAAACTCCAACTCAAAAAAAAAAAAGTAAAGAAAGTCTGGACTAGAAGTTAAGAGATCTCCCCAGTTATAATTTTGAGCAAATAATGTCTCTACCCTTATTCTTCAGATCGTTAAATAAAGGGTTTATATATTATGATTCTGAAAAGCTCTTACATTTCAAATTCTAGGATTTGTGCTTATTTAAAACAGGAGAAAATGCCTTTTTCATAAAAGCAGTAAACTCTGAAGTGAGCAATCAACTCTGAAGATATTTGATGAACTGAAGTACTATATTGTGAGTTAAATCAAAATATTTAATGATGCATTTAAATATACTATATTTTCATATGTAAAAATAAATGTGTAATTAACATTACAGTAATATACTTTCCCTAATTGTTGGAAATATGAGAGTTATATAATTTAAGAATTTTATAAGGCATTTCTTTTTTTGTGAAGGAAAACTACACTTAACAAGGTCTTCTTTACCTTATAAATCTCTTTTCAGTGCAAATGTGCTTAGAGAGGAGATTAACTTGAGCATCTTTTCACTAATTACAGAGATTAGGAAGTGGCTGCCTGAACTATTTTCCAAAGGATAAACATTACAAATCATTGAATATGGCAGCTCACCAAGAAGATCATATTGGTTTGGGGGTAAGTAATTCTAAAAGGTATCTTTTTCTTAAAGCCCCGTGAACACTCTTCACTTGGAAAGTATGGCTCTCTGAATATACCAGCTAAGTCAATCAGTTTTAAGCAGAGCCAATCCATTTATAGCACCTGCAATTTCTAGTGACCTAGATCTATGAGCGGCATCTGTCTTTAGTTTGATGACATTGTTGAAAATGGGTTAGGCTGGCAGAAGCCCTGCACCCTCTGTCTTATCTACAAACAATACAACATCCCAAGCTTTTTGAAAACTAAGAATTTTTCCTCTTAGCACATCTTGTGGACCCCTATAGAGAATCCTAGAATGCCTGAACTGGAAGAGACCTTAGATATACTACTTCACAACAGGTTTTTTTTTTTTTTTTACAGTGCTATGCAAGCCTTTTGGGGTACAAAGATGAATAAGGAAAGAGCATCTTCTTATGGAACACATAGTCTACTAAGTCATTTCGACTAGTGTCTTGATTTTCTACATGGGGTGGCTGAAGCCCAGAGTGGGGGATGGAGCTGCTCAAGGACACATAGTGGCATGAGACAGAACTGGGATTGAACCTAGGCCTCTTGATGCCACTCACAATGTTCTTTCCCTTGCATTGTACTTCTGTATTGGCTACCTATTGCCAGGAGGCCAAGTTTTAACAACTTCTCAAAATGTAGGCCAAAATTCTAGAAAACTGTTTGTTAATGGTAATGGTGATGGTATGAAGGAGAATATTTAGTGAGTTGTATTTGCTGTTCTTCCTAGAACGAGGCTGTTCCTAGACAGTTCTTCCTAGAACGAGGCTGGTCACGCCCAAAAGAAACTCATCTAGAATTTCTTTACACGGAACCCCAGAAGAAGTGGGGACTGGGTACTACCACTGCCCCATTTCCTTCCCTCAGCTTTCTGGAATCTCAGGGAACAGCTAGTTGCAGAGGACACATGACCCGGGTAGCTGAGACTGGCCATTCATCAAATCCCTTTGATTCCAGCTGGCCACATATTTAGATTTCTCTTTTTTTCTCTGTTTCATCAGGGTCTATACAAGTAAGATGCTTAGGAGGTGTTCCCTGAATGAGTAAATGCATGAGCATCTTTGCATCATTCTTTTTCTTTTTAGTTCTAGCCATACTAGTTGAGGGAGACCAAGTAAATGTGGAAAACATTTCATTATTCTTGTTATTCCAATATATTATGTAATCCAATATTAACATTATTTAAGTTCTAGGTCAGTGGTTCTCAAACTTTTTGACCTTGGGACTCATTTTTGTTCTTAAAAATTGAGGACCCCAGCTGAGCGCGGTGGCTCATGCCTATAATGCCAGCACTCTGGGAGGCGGAGACAAGAGGATTATCTGAGCCCAAGTGTTTAGACCAGCCTGGGAAACTGGGCGAGACCTCCTCTCTACAATAAATCAAAAAAAATTAGCCGGGCATGGTGGTGCACACCTGTAGTTCCAGTTACTTGGAAAGTTGAGGTGGAAGGATCGCCTGAGCCCAGAAAGTCAAGGCTGCAGTGGCTGTGAGCGTGCCACTGCACTCCAGCCTGGGTGAGAGAGTGAGACTCCAACTAAAAAAAAAAAAAAAAAAGTGAGGACCCCAAAGGGGTTCTGTTTATGTAGCTTATAAATTGGATTCAGATCCCTCTTCTGCTACCATCTTTTGACATTAAAACTAAGAAATTTTAGCTGGGCTCGGTGGCTTATGCCTGTAATCCTAGCACTTTGGAAGACAGAGGCTAGAGGATTGCCTGAGCTCAGGGGTCTGAGACCAGCCTAGGGAACTTGGCAAGACCTCGTCTCTACACAAATAAAAAAATTAGCCAGGTGTGGTGGTGGCACGTGCCTATAGTTCCAGCTACTTGTAATGCTGAGGTGGAAGGATCACCTGAGCCCAGCAGGTCAAGGCTGTAGTGGTCACAAGTGTGCCACTGCACTCTAGCCTAGAGTGAGACTCTGACTAAAAAAAAAAAAAAAAAAAAGGGGGA